TTATCTCTTGCTCTTGCTAAAATAGAGCTTTGTCTCTTGCTCTTGCTGAAATAGAGCTTTGGCTCTTGCTCTTGCTGAAATAGAGCTTTGGCTCTTGCTCTTGCTGAAATAGAGCTTTGTCTCTTGCTCTTGCTAAAATAGAGCTTGTCTCTTGCTCTTGCTAAAATAGCTTAGAAACTTAAAACTCTAGAGCTTAAAGAAATCTAGAGCTTAAAAACTTGGCTTATATAAAAGTCTAGTCAATAAAGTATATTCCTTCAAAAAACTAAGCCATAGAAAGTTGAAAGAAAGCTGTTTGATAGTGTTCAAGAAAATTGAATCTAAAGCCATTCTGAGAAAAATTTGAAGTGTTACTTTTCAGCTAAAACTTGTCCCTATTACTTGATGGTTCAACCCGCTAAAACTTGATGCTAAAAATCACAGTCATCTATCGTAAACTTATCTAGAGCCAAAGCCAGTCAGCCAGCGTAAACTTAGCCAGAGAAAAGACCATCATTCTTTAAAAAACCAAATCAATGGAAGATCTAAGATCAATGGATTGTCATTGGTCTTGGATTGCCATTGGTCTTGGATCTATTGATCTTGGATTCATTGATCCATTTCCATTGATCCTTACCCAATCCAGCACCTCTCCGATGACAGATATCGCTCTTAAATCCCAGTGACTATGAGAGAAAAGTTCAGCTTTCTTAACCATTCTTTTCTCATCCTTTTTTCCTTGAGATTGAACCCATTTTCCCTTTTTCTTTTAGCAAATGCCAAGGTGCAATATGGAAAGAAGAGAAGACAAAGATTGAGACCCATCTCGCCTTTCGATCCTTTAAATCCTTTCAATCTTTTCAATTGAGAAAAGCAAAGAATGACAGTTGCTCTCTCGAATCATCCCTTTTGCCTCAAATTGCACTCAGAAATATTTTTCAACCCATTCCACTTTTCTCATAAAAACAAAGCTATGAGGAAGGATTAGGGAAGTTCAATTGTCTAGGTTGAAAAAATTGGAGCAAAAGAAAATGGCCTGGTAACTAGGGATCTGGAATAATAGTTGGTAAAACTTGGGCTTGAGAAATTTGCTTACAATTATTGTGTAGTTAAATTCAATTTGGAAAACAATTCAAAATTGAGCCATTTAAAGGCCAATGGCTTTAAGCCAAGCCAAGCCAAACCAAGCCAAGCCAATCCAAGCCAAGCCAAGCCAAACCAAGCCAAGCCAAGCCAATCCAAGCCAAGCCAATCCAAGTCAAGCCAAGCCAAGCCAAACCAAGCCAAGCCAAGCCAAGCCAAGCCAAGCCAAGCCAAGCCAAGCCAAGCCAAGCCATCAAAAGTTCAAAACTATTCACAATCGAGCCGAGCTTTGAGAGAATGAATCCAAATTTCCGAATTTGGTTTTGGATTCCTAGTTTTTTCCTTAATTTTCCAGCTTTTTTCCTAGTTTCCTAGTTTTTTCCCTAATTTTCTAGCTTTTTAAAAACCCAACTTTCCCTTAATCTTTGCCCTTAATCTAATCACTTTATTTTGCTACTTTACTACTGTTGCTTATTTTTTCGAAACTCAAAGATCCCCTCTTCATCGCCTCTCAACATTCTTCATGCCAATAAGATAAAGAAATCCCAAAAGACATTGCTTTTGTCTTTTTTTTCTCTTTAAAGTTCCCCCTCTTCTTGTCAGTCAGTTTGCGGTTGAGAGGGCCAATTCGGGTGCAACTGCCGAGAATAATGGATAGGATTCGAGAAGAGAAAGACACGCAATCTTTTTTAAAAAAAGAGGAAAGCCACAACAATGCTAACTGATTTTGAGAGGAAAATGCTAAAAAAACAGCTTGAGAAAGGGTTCATTGCAGAAGCTGATAAAGCACTACTGGTATCTACTTCTGCTTACCTACTTACTACTTCTACTATCCACTACTACCTCTACTTACCGAGAGCTTCAAATGCTAATGATTTTAGAAAAGATCAAAAAGAACCTACTTTACATATAGCTTTGTTCAATCGAATAGAAAATTTTGAAGTATTTCTGTTTTTGTTGTTGTTGTTTTAGTCTTTCTCATTTTTCTATTCACAACTTGCAGCTAAGAGCTCTGTCTCAAGCTAAGAGCTCTGTCTCAAGCTAAGAGCTCTGTCTCAAGCTAAGAGCTCTGTCTCAAGTTCACTCAGAAAACGCTGGCTAAAATAAACTCTCCTAGCTCTCCCACCACAAAAGTTTCCCCTTTCAACTTGCTCAAAAAAAACTCACCAAAAAGACGAGGTTAAAAATGAATAATGAAAACTTTAGTGCCCTAGCACCACAACTTAGCGGCATTGTAGGGAATGTGGGAGTAAAATCCGGGCAAAGAGATTCAGTTAGCAGTTAGGGGGAATTGGATCAGAACGGGATATGGATGCTGATAGGATGATGGGTGAGAGGAGAGGAGAGGAGAGGAGAGATGGAGGAGTGAGGAGGAGAGGGGAATGGCTGGACTCTTACTAGGGCCCTCTCTTTAGAGGGGAAAGCAGGAGGCCCACCAAAAGAGTGCCAAAAAGTGACAAGCCTTGCCCCTGCTATGCCTCTTTTCCCTCTAAAAGTTGGAAAACGAGAAATTCGAGCAGAAGTAATTACTTGATTTGTTTTTTTGTTTCATAGGTGGAGAAAACTTGGGGCTCGTTGTTGAAAATAGAACTACCGACGATCAAAAAGCGGTGAATAGAGGGTAAAAAATGCTAGAAAGGATCTCAATTTGTCATAATTGTTTCATGCAGGCTTTCTAAGATTTCTAAACTCACCTCTTTAATTGTAGTCTCGAGGGTTTTGCGGTAAACTTGAGACCCATTCGGAAAGTATCAGTTTAGCCGCAAAAATATTGTCCATCTTTTTTGAAATTCTCGTTTATAAATGAATAATTAGCCGATAAACGATTTGCTTTAAATAAAAAAGTTTAATTATTTCATTTAGTTTATTTTTAGGCAAATTTGAGTCAATTTGAGTTTGAGTTAAGTCAAATTTGAAGCAAATCCGAACAGGAATTCTTGTTTTTCTCAAAAATTCTTACAATAGACATAGAATGAAAATCGCTTAGGGAAATTTTATGAAAATTTCTCGATCTGCTTAACTTTTCATTCTCTATTTTTTGTCTTTTGGTTTCTGTGACAAAAAGAATTACCAAACAATATATATATATACTTTATCCGACAAGGAAAAGTGACAATGCAAACAGATTGAACAGCGTAGACGAAGAAAGATAATTGATATACAAACACAACTACAATTAGACACGCGTATATATGACATTAAAAACTAATTTAAAATTGACAGAGCTACAAGATCGAGCTTATATATTGAGGATTTAAAATAGTTCAGAGACGAAAAAATATCACAAGGTAACTTATTCCAAATACGAGGAACACGACAAGCATGAAGTTCTGTGAAGTACTGAGCATTTCCTATCAATCACTTTATGTTCTTTTTTAGTTTTTAGCTTTAACTTTGTGGATCGACTTTTCCAACCGGCATCAATTGAATTTTGATTGGGGAAATGGGCAGAGCGTTGAGTAGAATGTGTTCCTCGCGAGTAAAGTATGAATTGGTGAATGATTACAAGTTACAAGTTGAAAAGTTGCTCCAGCATGCGCACAAACAAAGATAATAAAGTTGAAGACTAGTACCCCGGTGTATTTGATTGAATTCTCCAAGCAATCGTTGTTGTCGCAGTAGAATGGTGAGCCGCGAACGTTGGACAACACCTGGAAATGTGGAAAGGAGTTTTTTTAAACTAATTTATAGATCACAGATTTTACTGGCCACAAATTTTACTGATCACAAATTTGATTTGGTTGGTGAATTAAAAACTGCCGGACTTTGAACTAAAATTTATTCAACATAAAACCATGAATTCATTTTCCAAATAATTTCCATTATTATTGACGACTTCTGCCCATTTTACAGGCAATTTGCGGATTCCTCTTTCGTAGAAGGATTTTGGTTTGTGTGTGAGACCAGTGTGAGACTCAGAAATCGAGGACTGGAGATGGAGACTGGAGATCCCAGTTTGAGCACTTTCTTCAAAAGAAACCCATTTTGGTGTCAATAGAAAAGTTGTAGAGAATCAAAAATCAGGCTTATAGGCAAATTTCCAAAAAGATGCACTTAGTAGTTTCGCTTAAAATGCAAGTTTTGTTGCAATTTTTGTCAAAATTCATAAATTTGGCATTTCTTGAAAACCAGTTTTTGAATCGTTCTGAAAATTTGGATATAAGCTTGATTTTTGATTTTCTACAACTTTTCCATTGACACTAAAATGGGTTTCTTTTGAAGAAAGTGCTCAAACTGTCACATATGACAATAGCTCGCAGTTTTCAATTCACCAACCCAATAATACAGCATTTACGGTAAATTACGTTACACCATACACGTTTGACTAACAGAAAATAAAATGAAAATTATTTTTTTAAGTTATATGTTTCGATTAGGAGAATAAGTGTGCATTACTTGACATTTAGAATGTGCATTACTTGACAATTGTTTGAGTAAAAAATTGTAAATGCAAAGATGCAATTGTTTCATTGAATGGAACATTTGCTTGAGAGGAACACACTCTAAGCAAGCAGCTTGTTCAGTTTTTCTATTGATACTTTTAAATTACCCTTTTTTTAAAAGAGAAATTCTTGTCTTTCACTTCTTTCAATCAGAACTAACAGCTTTGAATCCAGATAAAGAATTGCTCATAGTTTGCAATGTTTTGTCTTTCCTGCAATGTCTTTCTGCTTTCTGCAATGTCTTTCCCGCTTTCTGTGTCATGTTACAAGTCATGATTTCATATTTATTCCTTTTCTGAGTATTTACAAATAAAAGAAAAGATCTAAACAGATATGTGTGCCGAGAAAAGGAATCTCTAAAGTCAAATGAGTCAAAATGAGCTGAATACATGAGATCAAAGGAAATCCTGGGAAAATGGACATGGCCAAATGGACCAAATGGACCAAATGGGCCAAATGAACAAAAGAGGTAAAGAATGAGAAATCGGGAAATTAATACGGTACAGTCATGGCTCGATTTGTTGAGAAATTTGGCTCGTTTAGCGAAAGGATTTGGAGATTCGGCGAGAAAAGTGGAGTAGATGAGAATGGGGCGGAGATCGGTGATGGGAATGGTGGAGAGGATTGGGGAAGGGTCGAGGTGGATGAAGTGGCAAGGATGGCTTGGGTCAATTGGAGGAGATCCGATGGGGAAAGATTGTTGAAGGAGAGACCAGGGAGTGCTGGGATGGAAGGAGGGCTGAAAATGGATGGAATGAGAGGGTTGGATGGGATTTTATCATTAAACTATAGCAGCTAGTAAATCAATCATTGCCGAATGGATGAGTTTCGAATTTCTGAACAGCTGGAGAGTTTCAAAGGGCTAGTTTCGAAGGGCTAGCTAAGGCTAGTTTAGAGTTGCTAGCAGTTGAGAGTTCAAGGCTTGTAAAATCGGGAAAAGTTTTGATAACTAGGTCAGCAAGCTAATGATGTCTTTCCCTCTTTCTCTTGGCAAGCTCTTGGCAAGCTAAGGCACCGGATAGCTCAGTGGTTAGAGCAATTGTCCGTTTAGATCGAAAAGTCCTTAGGTCCGTTTAGGTCGGTTTAGGTCAATCTTCAAAAAGTCGAGGGTTCCCCTCTCCGGAAATCTACTTTTTCTTGCCAATTCCTTTACTTCTTTATTATAATATCCAGTGGCAATCGATTATAGTATGACTGTCTACAATTAAACACTACTACTGTAGAAAAGCTTTAGGCGAAAAGCTTACTATAGAATATTGTTTCAATTTAAATCAAGAATTTCATTAAACAATATTTAGCGGACTTTCTAGAACAATTTTTTGCAAACTTTCCACATGTAATAAATCCTTAAATCCATTTTAATACTAACCTAGTAGGCACCGGAATTGTCGGCATAGCTGTGCTTAGAGGCAAGAGTGAGAGGATCGGCCTCGATGCTGACGTGGTGGCGATTTGCGAGATTTGCGAGCTCTGCAACGAGATCATCGGATCGACCACCAATTGCTCGCGTTGACACACTGAAATGAAAACAGTAAATTGGAAATTTTCAGCTTTTGCTTACATTTAGCTTCAAGTTGTTCATTTCGTCGCTTCAACTGCTCGACGTGCATTTGATTCTCGTTGAGTTTCGATTGAAGTATGGAGATGTACTCGACGGCGCGTTTAAGAATCAGAGCACGGGAGGACTGGAAATGGGAAGATATTCGGGATTCTAGGGAAATGATTGTACCTTTTCTCCATCAAGCAACGGAATGGCTCCTTTCAATGTCATGAAATGATCTTTGATATGATCTCTCCGTCTTCTCTCTAATTCATTGTGGTGGGCGCGACGATCCTCTTCAACGGATGGAGTTGAGATGATGTCATCCTGAAATTCTATTGATAAGATTTGATTCTGATTTGATTCTGATGCGATTCTGATTCGATTCTTCGATTCGATTCAAAGTTAGCCAGCTATCTGATGTTATCGTAAAGTTATCCGATACCTGTCAAGCTCTTGAGCTAATAAGTTGAGCTATTAAGCCACACAGAAGATGGTGGGCCAATCTGACACCAACAACTCCAAGGCCAACAGCTCAACAGCTGACACTAACAGCTAACTAACTCATTGCAAGATTTGCGAGCAACTTACTACTTTCTAACTTCTCAATCATCCTTCAACAACCTTCCATTGATTTATAAAGTTTATCCCTTTGATTTTCAATTGAATACCCTTCTAGATCCCAATAATCCCAGGGTTCTAGATCCCAATAATCTCGAATATCCGGTATTTTTCAGCTCCCCGCTCGAGTCGATCCGGATTTTTGATGATTTTTTTGGCTTATAACCACATTTTTTCTATCGGAGATTAGTGGGGAAATCCTTTACAAAAAATAAATTTGTAAAGAAATGAATCTTGGTGGGGGTGGATGAGAAGAACGGATTAGTGGAGAAGAAAAAAAAAGAAGAGGAAAAGGAGAGGACGGGGGAGGATCTGAGGGAATTCTAGGAGATTCAAGAAAACGATTCAAAGATTCCATTCAATAGATTCTTTGAATTATTTTTTTTGTATATTTCAATGAAAAGAATGAGAATCGGATTTATGCTAACTTTTTTGATGAACGGGAAAATTGCAAAGGAAAAGGGAATGGGGGAAAGTTGCAGTGGCGGATGAATGAACTATGGAACGAGAACGATTGTTTTAGTGGATGGATTTTTAAAAAGACAAAACCTTTGCATGTATCAGTATCAGTATCAGTATTAAATGCAAATTTTTAGACTCACATCTGACAAATCGACATCATCCGAGTGCTGTCGCTTTCTTGATCGTTGACTGTCGATCGAGTCGTGTTTCTCGAGAAATGCTGAGGTCATTTTGTGAACTGGAGAACTGGTGAACTGGAAATTGGAGTTTAAGAGGCTTGGGAAAGATTGAGAACAATAGCTTGAGAAGAATTGAATAAACAATTGGATAATAGATAAACAATAATAGATAAACAATAATAGATAAACAATTGAATAATAGATAAACAATTGGAAAATTGGATAGCAATTGTTGAATTGCTGAAATCAGCATTCAGAAATGAAACTATTGCTGGAAACAGGCTATTGTTTAAAACAAGCTATTGCTGTTTTCAGCTGTAAGTGCTTGCTGTAAGTCTGCTTGTTGTAAGTCTGCTTGTTGTAAGTCTGCTTGCTGTAAGTCTGCTTGATGTAAGTCTATTGACTTACAAAATCTAGACCAGATTCAATAAATGGAAAACTTTAAAGCTTTAAAAGTGATACAATTTGAACTCTCCCAAATAAAGAATGAAACAAGGAAAGGAAAGGAAATGAAACAATTCTTGCAAAAAAACAGTTCACTGTTCACTCATGACCAACTGCAGAGCTCATCACTGTCTCTCTCTCTCCTTTAATAGACTCAGCCAAAAAAGTGTTTGCTGACAAATGGAGAAAAAGATGGGAAAAGTGAAGAGATTTGAGAGATTTGAGAGATTTGAGAGAGAACTCGGGGAGAAAACACCGATTGTGGGTGGGAAGAGCCACGCTGTGAGCACGCGTCTCGGGGAATAGTGAAACACCGTATGACTCTTGCATCAGACAGGAGACTGCACTGAGAGGAAAAGCGGGGAAAGGGGACAGTCTCACATTGGAACCGATTCGGAACACCGATATTCTCTTATCATTTGAGCTGGCCATTCGTAGCCTGTATAAACAGTGACGAGTACTAGTTGGGGAATTCTGGGAAATGAGAGTTTTCCATTTCCCAGAGAGCCGTAGATGTAGATGTTATAAGCATCTACATCTACAGCTTTAGTAAAATCTTTTTAGTCGTTTGTAAAACGAATTTAGCAGTAGTTAGCTAGTCAATCGGAAATGAATTGAATCCATTTAAGAAGCTAGTTAAGTTAACCTCATTGAGGTAAGTTTTGGAGTAGCTAAAATGAAAGATTGATGGATGGATGAGAAAATGGGAAAGATAATATTGAAATGATATTAAAAGGTGATATTAAAAGATGATATTGAAAGCTGATATTAAAAGCTGATATTAAAGGCTGATATTAAAGGCTGATATTAAAAGCTGATATTGATAGATATTGATAGATATTGAAAGAGATTGAAAGAGATTGATAGAGCTTGAAAGAGCTTGAAAGAGATTGAAAGAGCTTGAAAGAGTTTGAAAGAGTTTGAAAGAGCTTAAAAGAGCTTGAAAGAGCTTGAAAGATATTGAAAGATTAATCATATTGAAAGCTAAAAGATACTTGATACTTGATAAACGATAATGATAAAGAAAGATACTGAAAATTTCAAGATTTAAAGCTACTAGCTTATAGCTATTTAAAGCTACTAGTTTAACAAACGTTTTAAAACAAAAAACAACAAAGATTTAAAGATACTAATCTAGTAAACGTTTTAAAACAAAAACAAACAATCTAATCAACAACTTCAAACAATCTAATGAACAACTTCAAACAATCTAATGAACAACTTCAAACAATCTAATCAACAACTTCAAACAATCTAATCAACAATTTAAAACAATCTAATGAACAACTTCAAACAATCTAATGAACAACTTCAAACAATCTAATGAACAACTTCAAACAATCTAATCAACAACTTCAAACAATCTAATCAACAACTACAAACAATCTAATCAACAACTTCAAACAATCTAATCAACAATTTAAAACAATCAAACATTGAGAATTCAACAATGAGATTGAGGCTAAATTGAGCTAAAAGAACTGAAAATTCTCTTTGATATGAGAAGGATCAAACCGGATTCCAACTTTGACCAAAAGACTACTACAACGACAATGAAACTGTAGTAAAATTATTGAAATAAAGCTCAGAATGCAAGTGCAGCAAAGTTTCTTTCAGATCAGAGCCGGTATTTGAAGGTGGGACCTTGATCGGGTAGAAGAGGCGAGGGTTGGCCCCGCCCCTTCTCCATGGAGTTCCCCTGGGGCTCCCTCCTTTCTCTTTTTCTCCACTCCCACCCAAAATTCTGCTGCGAAAAGACCCGATTATCACAAATCTCACTTTTCACAATAGAGACAAACAGAATTTAAGCAATTAGTTCGAGATTGGCGGATCAGTGCGAGGGTGGATGTGGGCTGAGAATGGATCAACCCGGCGTTTTTTTTATCCAAAGATTTTCCCCATTCAATCGACTTTGAAAGGGAAAAGTCGGGAAAATGGGGAATCTCGATTTGACTTTTCTTTGGCCATTCTTTTGTGACCACGATTGTGAATGAAAAGCTTTTTCTTATTCATAAATAAATTCTTATCCTTTCATTCATCTTTGGGGAAATTTTTAGAACAAAATCTCTTTCAAAGCATCGAACTTTCTCTTCGCAAAACATCGAGTTTTCATCAAAAACTGTAATTCTTTGGCGTTGAGGAAGTTCTGCACCAAAGATGATCTTTTCATCTTTGGAAAAAGATCGTAGAACTTGCTCGCTCGGCACATTCCAAGATCTTCTTCAAGCAAAGGAAAAGAACTGGCAAGGCTAGGAAATTTCTGAGACTGATGACTTTAGCACAAAAATTTATGATTTAGATACGGTATTTTATTTTGGAGTGCATTCTCTCTATTCCCCTCGATGATCGGTTTTTTCTCTTCCCTGTGAGTGCTCACCGATTGCATCAGACAGCCACCCCGAAAAAAGCTCACTGCTCACAGCCAAGCTGTGTGCGAAATGTTCTCTGCTCGAAGCGTGCTCCCCGTGTCTGTTGAATCGAACCCAATTTGAAAAAAAGCAGAAAGCAAACATGAGATTTCGGCAAGTTTTTACAGGAATAACTTTGCAAACTAGTTTGTAGAATTTGTAGAATTGTGATCTGGATTTGATCTGGATCTGATCTGGATGAATTTGGCCAGCTGCTTGGATCAAACTGCTCACAAAGTAGAAGAATAACTACAAGAATCACTTGCAAGTATAGAAATGGGATCAAGCGATCCTATTTCTATACTTGCAAGTGATTCTTGTAGTTATTCTTCAAGCAAAAGTTAGCTTTATGGACTGGCTTGGCTTCAATTGTTTTGTTTTGAATCAAAAATTGGTTTCAATTGTTTTATTTGAATTAAAGCCTTGATCAAAGCCATCAAATTACTTACAAAGTTCTACCAAATGCGTTCTACCAAAACCAAATGTTTTTAGCTTTAAAAATCGAAACCTTGACACTTTTCTAGTGAATAAAGACTTAAAGAAAGAAGAGACTTCAAATCCAAGCTAACAACAATTTTTTCAATGACAATAGACACAAAGACAATGATCTCTTTTCCAAGGAAATCTTTTCTAAACAAGGAAATCGACAAATCTGTCGACGAAACTCTGAACTGCTTTTGATCATGAACTGAAAAAGTTACCGTATCTCAAACACTGATAACTTTTCTACTTTGTATTTTGCAAGCTTGGAGTCAAGGCGGACAAAGTGCAGACGGCCAAGCTTTTACGATTCTTTGATTTGGGTTGTGAAAGGGCAAGGTTCCGAGTACAGGACTACACAAAATGGATCAAAGTATTGCTAGGGAATGAGTTGGCGGTGAAGTTTTACTACTTGGGTTTAATAAAAAGATAGATTTGGTGGTTTGGTGGTTTAGTGGTTTCTTGAGGGTTCTTTTCACCGTATAAATCTAGTCTATCAGAGTCTCATCTTCTTAGAGAGCAATCACTCATTTCAGATCTTTGATCTGGAATCAGTGATTGCTGAGTGGCTTCAGCATCTATTTTTTGGTTCAGTACACTTGGTACCGGATGTACAAAATTGTGAAACCAGTTTGGCTTGCCTTTTATATCAAATTACACTTTGGCTTGCCTGTTTTAAAATCTTTTCTGAACTTAACTTGTTTTTACACAATTCTTAGCATTTTCTATGATAATTGTTTCAAAAATGCTAAAAATTGTTAACAAAAACTTGTTTTACTCATTTCACTAGAAAATGAATTGAAAAGTTTGAAAGATATTTGATTTTTGATACCTAAACTAAACTGATAAGCTAAACTAAACTGATAGCTATGACTCTGGTTTGGCTGTGATTCTTGCTCGTTTGGCTGTGACTCTTGCTCGTTTAGCTGTGAGTCTTGCTCGCTCGTTTGGCTGTGACTCTTGCTCGTTTAGTTGTGAGTCTTGCTCGTTTGGCTGTGACTCTTGCTCGTTTGGCTTCTCCGATTTAGTATACCGTTTTAGCAGATTCATAAAGCCTCATCATTCACAAAGCTCATCAAATTCAAGCATCAAATTCAACCTCCTTGAACCCTCCTTTCTCTTTCTTTCTTGCAGCTATTGTCGTGCAGTCGACTATTGTATTCTTTGCACCCAATCATCGCAGGCTCATCGCAGACTCATCGCAGGCTCATCGTAATCATTTATCAGCAAATCTATTTTGTGTTGGCGACAAACAATGAGCACCCACATGACCGGGGTGCACAGGGAAACAAGATTGGTATCGGTGGGAGGGGAAAAGGAAAGAGTCATGTGGTCAACTGAACTAGCCATCTCCACCCAACTAGGTGCGCCGGGAAATTCACGTGAATTCGAGCCTCTCCCTGGTTCGTCAAACAATCTGCATATCACAAAAATCGTAAAAATTTCCGATGCAAGGGAGAGATTGTTTTCGTTGCAAAGTCGGTGAAATTTTGAACTAGATATACTTAGAGAGCTGAAAAACGATACAAGTAAGAGAAAAATGTGTTGAGAAAATGTGAATTGAGAGATAAATTGAATTATAAACTTTTAAAACCATCAATTTTTAAGTGATTTAGCTCTTTCACTGTTTTTTTTTCTTTTGCTGAAACGGTTGAAAGCTAAATCTAGGGCTAAATCTAAAGCTAAAGCTAATCTAAAGCTAAATAAAAAATCTAAAGC